ATGAGTGCGTGCTAGGCGGAGATGTAGAGAGGGGAGGGGGGGGTTGGGGGGGGACGCGTGCGGATGTGTTGACTTGCAAGCGTGTTTGCAATCTGGATGCTGACACAGACAGATGCTCCGGCCTGCTCTCTTGTCACTCTCCATCCTTGTGGGGCACTTGATATCTTCATCATTTTTATTTTGTTTTTTTGTCTTCATTATGTGCTGGAAGTGTAGCAGAGGCTGCCGTGGCTGTGATAGGATTCATTTAGGCCGCTTTTGTGTTTTGCATTTGCTCCCGCTGACTGGAATCGAGGGGGATTTGAATTTTTTTGTCAAACAATTTTGTATAAATAAAAGATAGATTCAGATTCTCATTGATGTGTTTTCCATTGAGCCAAGTGAAATAGACTTTTTTAACTTATGGCTGAGAACAAAGTCAATATACTTAAGGGGATAGTAAATATTGACTACATGTCTTACATTGGAAGAAAAAGGAAAAATAGAAAAGGCCAATTTACCGATACAGTTATACTTGTTGATTGATCGTGCAGCCTGCAGTCGTTCCTGAAGCAGATGTTATTTGGTCCTGCAGACCGGCTGTCTGCAAGCCGCTGAAACCTTGGACCGGAATAGCTCCGATAATGTATCTGTCATGAATGTGTGTCATCAGGACCGGTACAGTGGAAAACTAAACGGCTGCACAGCCTGACCTGTTTTATTTAAAGATGCTGCCATGACCGCATACCTTTCAAATGATGCACATATACGGTAGCTGACATGTTATTTAAATATATCTCCAAAAAGGCCGGAGGTAGTGATCTGCTGCCTCGGCATACATTCTGTATTTCAACCTGAACTACATGTCTAAGTGTGATCTTTGTATGTCATCTCGTCCGGGGGATTAAAAGAGGGCCTAACAAATCAACTTGACCACGTGAGTAACTGAAGGCGTGAGCCCCTCCCTGCTGAAACGAGGAGGCCAGCTGAAAACACAACTTTCCCACATTTGCAGAGGATCCCAGGAGATGGGCGGTCAAGACAGAAACTCCCGCGCTACATTATCGAAAGAGGGGGGGAACCAACCAGCGAATCGGTCTTTTCACTGAAAGCACTTGAGGAAATAAATGACGCGGCTCCTTTTTCCCCACATGGGCCAACGAGAGCAAAGAAATTGCCCCGTGAATTATTGCCCACATGATTCCGTACGGATGGGAAAGTGATTATGCACACTGCTATGAGATGTAAACATCGCTCCGCTGTGACGCTGAAGAGCAGAAGAAGTTTGGCTTCGTGTCTCAGTCGGAAGGTCAAAAGGTCACTTTGGTTAACAAAGAAGGTTCCAAAATGCCCGAAAATGCAGGTTGTTTACATCGAGAGTCCGTGAATACGGGACTTATTCCACTTATCCCTTTCTAGTGCTCCACACAACGCCTCCATTCTATAATGTCAATAACTTTACTAAACCGACTTTGTCCTCTCAGGACAATAGAGGCTGGTCCTCAACTTCTTTTACGACTTCCCCTTTATGAGTCCTGAGTTGATTATGCCTTTGGGACGCCCCTCAATAAAACTAAAGCAAATAGAACTTTTCGGTTGAGCCCGGCTGAAAGGAAAAAAAAAGAAAAAGTAAAAACTGGCTCGTGTGAAAGGCTTTCACCCTGCAGCCCGGGACGGAGTTGACATTGGCTAAATGAGAAGCTCTGGGACACTAATCGAGATAAAAGGACTGGAACAGGAAGTGAGGTGAGTGTTTGGCGTGTCGCGTAGAGAACCTCCTCGCGCTTTATACAGCAGGCTAATAAAACGGTTCGTGAAAGGCCACCTTTCCTCCTGCACACCCGCTAGGCGGAGAACACCTCTGCGCGTCCACTGCATTGCTTACATTCCTCAGTGCCAGTTAAGCCGGAGGCCTCGCAATCCCCTGCCTCCGCATTTGATCAGCTGTTCAGTGGGAGTCAGAGAAAGGCCCGGAACATCAAACCGTCCGGTTGCTACAGTAGCTCTCCTCCTCCCACGCACCCACTAAAATGCAGTTTACCCAGCAAAAACAATGTGGCCATCTATTTAATTCCCTTCCTCCCCGCATGACATCGGTTTCTTTTTTATCTGCCACCCAATCGGCAAAATTTCGGAACGCTTGCCTGCGCGGCCGCTTTTTCAATGGACGGAAATTGGGAATGTAAAAACAGGGCAGTAGTGAAAGCACACGCGACTCCGTCGGCCGCCACTCAAACAATGGAGAATCTCCCAGTGTTTAGCTGCTGCTTCCTCCTGAAACACAACTCGAACAATGAGGCGCTGGCGCGTCTGCCGTTTCTAGCAACAGACTCATCTTCACACATTCTGGCCCTGAGCAGAATTATTTAAAGTAAGCGGGAGGGCGGCAGGGAGGGGCGGCTTTCCTCTGATAAGATAAAACAATTGGAATTGTCAGAGATCACCAGAGTGATAATAGGAAGCAGACAGATATATAATTGGACGCAAAAACAAAGTAACTATTGTCCTTGTTCGCCGCACATTACTGACAACTACAAAATTAGTTGAATTGCGATTGCATTGAGACCGAAGGAAATATGGTTCTGCAGCCAGGTGACAAATGGATATAAGTACATGTGTGAATAGAAAAAACCTAGATAAAAATATGTGTTACAGGGATATGAACACCGATGAGAGCAACTAACGTCAACCCATTGTGAAACAAAAGCGGTGCGAGATGCAGGAATTTACTCTTCTTCTCTCTTGAGAAGTGTCTCAAATCTGAAAGACGGTCTTCAGAAAAAAAAAAAAAAAGGCCGGGTTCTTTTGTTTCGGGATTGCAAAGCTGACACTGTTCACGTGAATTAATACTCAAAAAAAGAGAAAAGGGCAGATCGGAGATCAAAAGGATAGAGGATTCATTTAAGGTTAACGCTACAACTGCAGCGCGTTCTGCAACAGGCACCGTCTCGCCGGCTTCTATTGCTCCCCGATGAACGATTTGGAAATGTGCGGCTCGTAGAACAAGTGTTTGTTTACATCGTACCAAATAATACTCTCTCTCTCTCTCTCTCTCTCTCTGACAAGGGGTCTCTGCGGCCTTGATAAGGATCATGGGTATTTATTACACCCAGCAGAGCCTTTTCAGTAAATCCTCTGATAAAAATCTAGCACACACACAGGAGAAGGTTTCTGATTCTTAGTGCTTTTATTGTCTATATGTTTTTGCATATTGCAGAACAATGGGGGGCAAAGAGGTGAACAGAGGCCTCTCAGACCAGCACACACAAATCCATGCGTATTGAGAGGACGGGTCAAATGTGGATGGAGATCTCGGTTATGATACGAACATCCCTCGAGACCGACTTGTGTGTCCTGTAATTGCCCCGAGTCTGGCTCTCCGGTCCCAAAGGCACAGAGGGAGGGGAGACATCTACAGCTCCGTCTCTCACGCTCCTCTCACTCCTCCGGGGGAAGAAGCACTGGGCTGGAGCCCATTCAAGACCACAGGGTCACACACACACAGACGGACACAAAGTGAACCCAGGAGAGAGCGACGGAGAAAGACCTTGACCTGCTCGTTCTCCTCGAAAACCTCAATGCCAAAGCTTGGGCTCCAAATAAATGCAGCCTTCAAAAAAAAGGGCAGAGATGGTTTAACCCTCTGCCTCAACACTTTGTTTCAGCCCTGGTTTTGCAGATAATCCCTCACAAATCCTAAATCTCTGTGGGATTCACAGCCAGCCAGAAGTGTGAGAAATCACGAACCGTGCTGAAGCTGGTATCAGTTTGAAAAGCGGACGTGGAAGCGAGCAAACTGGGCTAATTGACAATTGCTAAAGTTTGGGGGTCCAACTAAATAAATGATGCGGTAGATACGGACGATACGTCGAGCTACGAAGTCATACAGGCTGCACGTGAAGGCCGTACATTCGGGTTCTTCTTGCCGTTGGGACGGCCGGCGAGGGTGAAAAGCCGTTATGGAGACCTGACCAAGAGTATTTGCATGTCCACACAGATGGTCCAACTGCCACGCTGATCCCCCTCACGCCCGTCCAACTATCGAATCAGCAGCATATTCGACGATGGTAGAAAAAACGGGCCTGTTGCTGCGCCCGTCCCCCCCCCCGTCCCCCGTCCCCACATCAAAAACCGCAATCTTCTTCAATGGCCTGCAGACACGCCAATCAAAAGCCTCCCTGTATGTCTAAAGCTGCCATTCAGTGGAGCCCTCGCAGCTGCTCGGGCATATGATTCAGACGCTTTTGAAGAAAGGTCACGATCAGTCCTGTTGAACAAGAGGCCCTCTGAGTCCTGCTCCAGGACGGCCACAGCCTCCCTCCGGGCCGGGCGCTCTTTCATTCACAGCCCCCCCCCCCCCTGAAGACTAAAGTGCCGGTCATTTAATTTATAAACGAGCAAAAAGACATTGGAGAGGTGGTGGAGGGGGGGTGGTGGACCACCCAAACAAGATGCCTTGAGGCCTTCGTGCCACCTGACTAGGGAGGAGCCGACTTGAATAATTATCACAGAGTAAATCTGGAACCCCCCCCCCCCCCCCCACCTCGTGCCCCTCCTACAGGAAATGACAGGCAGGTTGAAAGCTCCTCAAGATCTCCTCTCTCCGTTCCCGGCTTATTGATCGGCAGCAACTTCATTCACCATCACTCATTGTTAATGCAACCGCTCTGCTGCAAATGTTTACGCGTCCCGCCCGTGACTCCGTTTCCTCCTTTATTTTGATGTTAAACACACGCGAAAGTGGCCCCTTTGTTCAAGGAGATTATGACGGAAGGAAGCGTGGTGATGGATGATGCCAAACATGAATAATTGGCAGAGGTCTTTTTAGTCAATAAAACTGTGGCTCTTGTTTGATGAATGAAAGATGCCAAGAACCGCATTTCAACATACTTAAAAATCTATTCAGAATGGGTTAAGAGAAGATATAGAAGTGTGCGTCAGACCAAATTGAGTTGGGACAATTCTGCAGTGTTTGATGGGGATCTGGTGGTCCTTGTCGTGTCCGTCCAGGTTCCTCTTACCTTATTGGAGTAGGGCGGCTTGGCGAGGTTGATCCCATCTCTGATGAGCTTATCCCTGATCATGATCTTCAGCTTCAGCTTGGGGTAAATCACCAGCTCCCTCCTGTTGCCCAGCGTGCGGTTCCTCTGCGCGCCCATGTGGCCCCCGTGGCGCCCGATCCGCTCACCGGTGGGCTCGGTCCAGGACTTGGATCCCCGCAGTTTGGACTCGTACTGGTCCGCCACGTGACTGGTATAAACCTCGGCGGCGGGTGGCATCGGCTCCAAGGTGAAATAGAGTCCACTGGCCGTCTCGCTGGCTTCGTCCTTCAGCCTCCTCACCGCGTCGTGAATCCGTTGCCGGTGGTGCGGGACGCAGACCCCGATGGCGTCCAGGTCGGGGTCTCCGATCTGTTTGCAGACCTCCAGATCGTCGTAGCCGTTGTCCACGAAGGCCTCGACGTACTGGGCAAGCTGCAGGGTCTTCAGCCACTCGAAAACGATGACAGGTCCGCTGCTCGTCATTTTGGCTGTCGCCGGATTTGGCTCCGACTCCGGGACGGGAAGAAGACGCCGCGGTCGATCGCTTCTAGTCTCCCAGCCGGCGTCTCAAACGCATTATGCGGTTGTTGATGACCACGTGCGCGCTCTCAAAGTATTATGAAAGTACAGATGTTCTGGACTGTTGCTCCAATCCTCCAACCTTTTGATGGCGCGATGTCGCAAGACATAACAACAGAGCCGTAAGTGAATTAAAACAGGTTGAGCCTGACAGTCCGTTCTTGTCTGGAACACCTGTCAATGTCTCCAAACGAAGATCGGCTCTCACGTCCTAAATGGCATTTCTGTGACTTACCGCGCGCATTCAGTCCAGTCGGCTTACTTAAACATATAAAGAAAGCAGTCGTCTCAAAACTATTGTGATTCAAATAGCTGCTCAATGGGATTTCGTCCGTTACGCGCGGCAGCTGCTCGGTCTTAAAAAAGAGAATCTGTTTGGTTTTTTTTTACAGCTTATCCTGCTTCCTTAAAGTCCTCCGTGTCGCCAAAGCCGAGCGCCTCGAGAGAGTAAATCCAAAAGGGTGCAACAACAACAACAACAACAACAAAAAACGACAGAAAGTCGGCCGCGGACGATCGGAGGCGACCGCGAGGTTCCGCGCAGGTTTTACGCGTATTCCGGTTCTTCCAGCCGGCACATCAGCGCAGTGGAGCCGCGCAGCCAAGAGCCAACGTGCTCACTGCTGCTCCTCTGCCGTCCACGCCCCCCCACGCATCTCACCGTGCCCATTTAAAAATAGTCCCCCACCCACCTCTCTCTCTCTCTCTCTCTCTCTCTACCAACTTGTCACGCCGAGTCGGGGGACACAATGGGTCACACCAAAGTATGCGCGAGACGACAGCGCACGCTAAGCCCGTCGCGCAGTAGAAACGAAACCCCGAGTCACATTCCTCCCCAACGATGGGATTTCGTTCTCCGCACCTCTCTCTCTCTCTCTCTCTCTCTCTCTCTCTCTCTCTCTCTGTCTCTCTCTCTCTCTCACACACACACATACGCGTCTACTCATTCACCGCTGGCACGCTTCTGTTTCTCGGTGCGCATGAGCGCCCTCTATGTGGCGAGTGGGGAACTGAGGCCTCCTCAGCACCGGGGAGAGGGGGTGGGGGGGCTGATGAAATAGAAGAAACTAAGGCAGTAACCCATTGGCTGCACGAACAGACATTTGATGCAATTTCTCTTTCGACTCTTTACAGCAACGCAGAGCGATTGGTGCCCGACGGTCGGCGTCTAATTGCAGCAGCACCGGATGCTTCCATTATTGGTATGAAACAAGTCAAACTCTCTCCTCGGACAAGACCTGTCCGCGCTGTCCAAAGCGGAAGCCGAGCCAGCCGGTGCAGATGCGTGCTTCATCGAATGTGAGCCGACAGCTTGTTAGGGGTCAGTTTGATGCAATCGCCGTCTCGGCTCCGGGCTGGAAGTGATTTGCCTCAGGCCCATCAGGGCATCGGCCGGGGCTCGGGCGGAGGAGGAGGAGGAAGAGGAGGAGTGGGTAAGCATATCAAACAGCCTCATATCGGAATGTCAGAGGAAGAGGTGCGAGCTTGGTGGGGCTGCTTCATCATTGTCGGATGTCCAATCATGCCGTTGAGCTACTCAACATCCAACACGGTGGTTTACCCGTCAGCTCTCGGGTGAGATTTAAACTCGCACAGCTCCGTTCAGCCTTTGCATGGATCAGCTTCGGGAGCAGAGCATTATGGGAGTGAGAAGACGGGGGCCGGTGCTCTCTGTGGCGGGTGGACTCGCCGAGTTCCGCCGGCCGTGCCAGGAGTGCCGGGTTTCCACTCTGCTGCCCCCCGGGGCCTTTGAGAGCGACCAGCAGGTTTCCCGGGGGGGGCGGAGGGGGGAGGAAGGCCAAGGGAGCCAACACAAGCGCCTCGCTGGCTGGATGGAAATACACAGGTTTGTTTGCAAGGCAATCAATCACGTGAATGGGACTGCCCTGCAGGTGTGCCCAAGTTGCAGAGCCCTTCAAACAAAGCAACGGCCGCTTCAGGAGCCAACGTTTCAACTGAAGCGTGATGTCATTTATCCAGTAATTTACACATAAAATATCTAAAAAAAAAACCTGAAATATAATATATATGTATGATATATATCTCCTTTCATCACCTCAGTTTCAGCTTGTAAAGATTCTGAGTAGATCCTTTGAAACCACTGGTTTAGTGTAGACGGGGTCCAGATCTAAAGAAACAAACCACTTCTTGTAAGATAAAGGCTTCTTAATTCAACAAAACAACCTGATTTAACTCTACCAAACAGATATGTCGTTACTCCATTACAGTTAGTGCTGTATTGTTGCTTTTTAATAACATGAAAGGCAGTCAATGCCCATTCTAAGCAGCGGCGCCATCGCTCTCCCCGCTCAGCGGAGCAGTGTTGTTGCCCCGGAGCCAGAGGGCCGCTGCCACATCAATAACGCCTCAATAACCGTCCCGTAATACAATTCTCAAACAGGCAGCCCAGAGCATTAGTGCAAATAAATAAGAATACGCGGCGGTGAGAGTGCGCGGTATTCGATCTGGTGAATATGTACAGGCTGCTTTGACCGTGCGACTGCAGCAGGTTGAGGGGGGAGGGAGGAGGGATGGAGGGGGGGGGGGGCTAGAAGGAGCGAGGAGCGGCCCGACACAGCCAGACAGACAATAGCAGCTCGGCTGACAGCCAGGCTCTCTCTATGCTAATGGTCAGTGCTATGGGGGGGGGTTTTCTGAAAGGGAGGACTCGGCTATTAGAAGGTGGGGAATTTTTGTTGGGGGTCGGGTGAGGGTGGGGGGGGACGGGGGTGGGTGTAAGGTCTTCACGGCTTCAGTCGGTTACTTTGCACCTTTTAAGACCTCAATTTTAAAATGATTTGAAGTAGAGGATGGCTTCCGTCCGCGTAGATGCTGAGGGACCGCGTGGGTCATGGATGTTGGTTTCTGAGTTTAGGATCTCCGTCAGGCCCAGATAGGCTCCTCAAAGTCGTTACCCAGTCACCTTTTTTTAATGCACGGCGGGAAAATGTGTAATTGGATTTAGCATGAACAAAATCTTCAACTCTTTCTGTTTGCAGATTTAAGGTTTGGCCGCAGACGATTCCATGACCTCGACTGTGCTGTTATTCCTGATAACACAGGTTTTGTTCAAAAACCCAAGAAAGAAATTGGGGCAACCATCAGCCCTCAAAGGGGTTTCAATCTGTCAATCCTCAGTTTTGTGGTGAACCTAAAAATCGGAGAAAAATGCACATTGTTGATCGTCTTGGGATGCAATTTATGGCAAAAGCTGAGCCGATTATTTTTCCATCCCTTAAAAACTAAGGAGCTCTCCTCAGTGCTCTTCTCCTAGTGGATCCGTTTGGCTTTCTGGTATCTTCAACAGAGAGAGAGAGAGAGAGAGAGAGGGAAAGAGGTTGAACCGTCATTATGTGCTTTAATTATGAGCGGCTGGCTGGGTTGCAATCTCCTGAGACCAGAGGTGAAGCAGACACACCAGCACCAGCTGCCACTCGCTGGCAGTTCAATATCTACCTAAACATCCCCAAAGCCACAGGGAGAGACGGGTGGGAGGTTTTTTTTTGGGGGGGGGGGAGGCTAATGCAAGGATTGCATGTCTAAGCATATCAGCCACAGACACCTGTCAGTCAGCACAAAGAATCTGGCACCAGGTCAGATGTTCCCCGTTAGCATTCTCTTTGGGGCAATAAAAGGGGGATGCCATCAATCAAACCACTACTTTGAGTCGCAGCAGGAGCCAACGTCTAAATTTCTCCTCGGGTGTTGTTCAGTACCGCCTGATCCTGACGGCAATGGGGACCACCTTCAGTGTAGCACAGGTTTCATTTCAAATCGACCTTTTCTCCTGCAAAGTGCTACATTGTTTAGCTGCGGAACAGTGCTGGAGGGAGCCTTGCAGCCATGGATAGTTAAAAAAAAAAAATTAATAACTGTGGTACCGATTGTTGTTTTTTTTCTCATTGACTCAGAACAGAAAGTCCTTGGTATCCGTTTTATCCCCAAACAGCTTGATTATAAACTGGCAGTATAGAGCCGTAAAATTCTTTCCCAAGGAGCAAAACAGGAGGCACATAAAAGAAAGTGTGTTCAGCGAAAGTGCCGAGAGCCCCAACGAAGAAGACGTTGCTAATTAAAATTAACATTTTATTGTGTTTACTCAGCCCAGAATTTGAAAACCCACACGGCAGGCTAATGAGCCCAGGGTTTCTTTTCCGGCGGAACACAGAAACTACTTTCATAACAGGTAATACATTCATTTTCTTTAAACGGGTTAGACCGTCCAACCAACTCATTTGTGTTGTGCGGTCACAGCAGAACAGAGAGGGGAGAAAAAAAAGCCCCAAATCCAAAGATTCCCACAAAACCAAGTAACCTAAGAAACCGAGCTGCTGCTCTGTCGTTATCATGGAAACCCAGACTTCACCAAAAGAGGGAATTATCAGGCAATACGACGCCGCGTTATTGCCCCCTCGCAGTACTTTAATAAGACCCGGCTGAACCCGCGACCCGGCTTTTGCGGCAGCGGAGTTTGTCGCAGGAGAGATTTGGCGGCTCAAAAGGGCATCGACATGCCCACAGGAACCGCCTCTTAATACCGGCTGGGTGCCGCCGCGGTGACCCCGGGTCCACGTGATTAGCATGGACGGCCATGCGAACCACCCGAGCGCAGCAGCATGAGTGGATTACATGTGTGTGTGTGTGTGTGTGTGTGCAAATCCACGACACGGGCGGTTTTACAAACGCAACTGTGAGTAGCGTTACAATGCATAGACGTGTGGCGGGGTTTTATTTTGTCGTTACTTACCAGTGGCGGGAATCCTGGCAGGATATTTCACATGAGCAATCAATGGCTGATTAAAAAGACAGTGGGACGTGCACAACATATTTTAGCTTTATTACTCCAACATTGAGAATATCCACTCTCTAGCCCCTTTTCATCCCCCCCCCACCCCAGAGACCCTTTACACACCTGTTGATGTCAAGGCTGGAGATAAGAAAGAGCTATAAATTAGTTAGTCTGCCCGCCTGCTGATAACATATGAATCTCATCTCTCCTCTCCTAAGCTGCCTTTAATTACAGACATGAGGATAATACAGGGGGGGTTAAGGTCTGGCTGGAGAATCTCTGACAGGAGATATTGGATAAAGACAATCCCAGCCAGCTACATCACCGTACACGTGATCCACACGACTGACCTCGGAGCAGAATGACACCCAGAGGGCCTGAGGTTTAACTGGCAAACCCGGCGGCCTGCTGATGGATAGAAGCTGAAGCTTCGGAAGATCTCGGTAAGATGGTTTTATTGCCAAGGACGGATGAATTTCACCCGACTTGCTATCGGAGAGACAATAAAATACGAGGCGATAGAGATGGGAAAACGGAGCTCGGCTAGAAAAGGACTTAAGAACTGATTTCGACGGAGCGTGTGTGTGTGTGTGTGTGTGTGTGTGTGTGTGTGTGCGCTGAAGGGAAGGTTTCCAGCTGATGATAAATGAACTGTCATGTGACTTCACAGAATGTTTTATAACAATCCCCTCAGCAAAGCAGTGGTGCAGAAAGCCCAATTAATAAAGACTTGCTCATTTTCCACAGAGCTCATTTCCTTCTTAATTAAAACAAGGTGATTGAAAATGAATGAATCATTATGCAGATGCATGTGAAGGTTTTTTTTTTTTTTTTCCTCTTACAGTTTTGATGAAATAATCAAATGAAACATCCCCTTAACGGTCGATGGCACGAAATGAAAACTGATGTTTCTTTAAAAGAAAGGGTGAACGTTATTTGTTATCTGCCAGACAGACAGTAGACCAGACTCACCCCTGTAGACGCACTACATTAGGAATATTAAATGATTAAAAATGTGACACAGTGGCCGCTGAGTCTCACTAGAAA